AGTATAAATGCAAGTACCACAAAGCTATAGTGCTTCAGTTGAAGGCCTTACAGTGGGGACTAGGACAGGGGAGAAGAATGTGAGGGGTGTGAGCAGCAGGAAAGGATTCAGAGGTGGTAGTGTTGCAATCACACCCTCCTTTCAGACCATGCCAAGGAAGCAGCAGCTGGGGACCTTTTTTAAGTCCCAAAAGCAGGTAAGAATTTCCCCTTCCACTTCCCCTTCATGCTCAGTGATGCATCCCCTTCTATATCATTCCACCCCTGCCCTCCTTGCCACCATCCCCACTATCTCTGGCTGCCACAGGGACAGCACAGATTTAGAACCACTACATCAGTCCAGCCAGGCAGCAGAGGTGAGTTGGGCTTAACGAAGGACAGCAGCAGTGGCAGCAGCAACAGGTTCCCCCTCTTTGCTTGGTCCCCCAGGTGATCGCCACCAGCCCAGGAACTGGCTCAGGGCAGGGAAACCTGCCCGCTGTCACTGCTGTTGTCCCTGGCTGAGCATGGCTCCTTATGCAGCCCAGCTGAAGTTGAGCTAAAGTGGGGCATAAGCAGTTCTGGAGCTTCCCTTACACCAAGGTCATCTGGGGACAGCAGCAGCAGACAGGGGACAGGGAAAATAGGAGGGGAGATGCAGCTAAGCACAGAGGGAAGGGAAGGGGGTGCTGAGAGTTGAGGGAAAAGGGATGGAGATTGTTATCTGATTTGGGGACTTAAGTCCCTGGCTGTTTCTGTGGCATACTCTGCCCACCCCAGTATGTGGAGGGACCCAAGAATGGGATTGAAGCCACCCTCATAGCACCACTCATTGTTCCTGCACCCCTCTCTGTAAAATTCTGGATTTTCCTGTGGTTTGGGTAGAAAGATTCAGTCTGGGTAGGAAAAGAGGATGATGACAAATGTAATACAAAGCCTAGGTAACTGGTTCAGTGGAAGGGTTCAGGGTGATCCCTAGATAACCCTGGAGAATTTATCAGGCTAACAGCCTTTTCCAAAAATAACACTGGACTCCATTAACCCTAGAAATGTTTGAGCAGTAAGAGATATTGAAAGATCAAGAAGAGACGACTAGTAAACTTTGCTACACAGTAGAGGTTAGAGGAGTACAGCATTGAATGAGAAGAAGAATGCACATACTTTCATGATAAAAATAGGCAAGGGTGGAGAGGCAGACTTGCCTCTTAAAGTCCAGAGCTAAGAAACCAGAGATGAAGTTTTAGTCCAATCTTTATGACAGACAACAATAAAGATATTGACAACACAGTGAGGCCATCCTTCCTTTAGGACAAGGGTTTTCAACCTTCTTGGATCAGTGTAGCCTGGGCAGACAAACACAGAGCAGTGTGCCCCCAGAGCAGAGTGTGTGTGTGTGGGGGGGGGGGTTGGTGCGTGGCCAAACGCAGAGTGGCAGTAGCCGCTGCATGCAAGCTTCCCCCACCCCCCGTGTCTAGCTAGGCAGGCAGTGCCTGCATGGCAGTGTGGGATGGTACATGGCAGCACTCCATCTCCGCCTGCTTGCACATACCCCCTAGGGCCTTCTCAAGTACCCCCAGGGGTATGTGTACCCCCAGTTGACAACCCCTGCTCTAGGAGCACCTTCTGTTTATACTACGTGATCTCTCCATTCTCTCTCCCTACTGTAGAGCTGTTGTCTTCTTATAGGATTGTTTTTTTCTACCAAGACTTTCTGAAACAAACTTTTAAAACTGGCAGTCAAACACCTACAGCCATGTTGTGACACCTCCGAGCTGGAAGCAAGGAATTTTGGTGGTATCTTTTATTGGACCAAATATATATTTAGGGGAGAGGTTAAATAAGCTTTTGGGGTAAACATGCCATTCTTCAGAAATGATCTTAGGTTGCTCGACCTGAAAAAGAGCACATTGTGCTCAAAAGCTTGTTTAATGACTCGCTGGGCGTGTCTACATGTCCATTAATGTGCTGTTGTTACAGTGCATTAAGTTTGGTACCTCTAATATGAGGTACTAGCTAAATGCGCAGTAGCCAGTGCCACTGTGTAGTAGTGCTGGTGCATGGTCTTTTTGTGATGGTTAATGTGCAGCAGACTAATTCTATTGCACATTAGCATGGCTTTTGATGTGATGTGTTAATGCACAGTAGAATTAGTCTGTTGCACACTAAACATCTTGTGTAGATGCACCCTCTGACCTATACTGTTAGTTCAATAAAAGATATCACCAAACATCCTTACTTCTTGTATATTTCCTAGACCAGCCTGTCTACAAAAATGCTCCAAGCTGGATAAGTTTTGAACACTCCTATTCTTTTCCTGCCAATTTTCCACTTTTTGTATTTGAGGAGATAAGCCATGTTCATATACAGATTTTTTTGGTTCTGGCAAATCCTAGTTCTCTGTGCCCTTTTTCTCAATATGTAAAGTGGAGGTTGATTAGAAGTATCTGATACTTTAATATTTTTAAAGTGCATTGACATCTGTGGATCAAGTTAGTATGCATAGATACTGATTATATTATAATATTATAAAGTGAATATCACTAATGAGGACTAGGGAAATGTTAGGACCCTGAACTGAAGCTGAGTTTTTCCATGTATTTTCTTCTCATCACTGTTTATTTTCCTGTTACAAACCCCATCCTTTGACAAAAAAGGCTTGCCGACTGCAGCTGTGATTTTTCTGCTGATTCATTCCATCAACCTTTCCCTCTTAATCCTTCAAAGGATTTTACTTCCAATTTTCAAAACATAAAGAATGACTGAATCAAGTTTTTCAACAGTCAAAACCTAAGGGATCTGCCTACGAAAGAGGGAGAGTTGAGATACTTAAGTCTAAATTAATTAACAGTTTCCATCCCATGGTGATTTTACTAATCTGCCTTGTAAGTGATCTGGAAGGACTACTTTTAAGAGGAAAGTGCATGCCCAGTTTTCCATGTTCAGTCACACACCATTTTTTCCCTGTTAGGTCATTGCTGAAAGTGAAATGATTTTTCTCATTAAGACCTTAAACCAACAAAGAAGATTAAACACCAAACATCAGATTCTTCTTGTCACTCAGCCTACATCAAAAGGGCTTCAACAGGTGCAGTTTTCCCCCAGCTACTAGCTACAGATGCATTGGTGACTGCAGCAAATAGATTTGGCTGTTTCTAAGGGATCTGGTTTCAATATACATTTAAATTCAGACTCTCCTTATCACTGTTTGCATAACACTTAAAGAGTGTAAACAATTAAAGTTTGAGAGACACAATAGAGCAGAGAAAAAGGAGATAATGCAAATGGAGAGGGATCTAGACACCTGAGAATTACTAAAGGGAGGTAAAATTTCTGAACTTCAAATCACTGCGGGGAAAAAAATCAGTGCAGGTCAGCAAAGATAAATAGAGCATAATTTGGTTCTGTTTAGCATCCTACATGATTGAGTTGGGCTGAAGATAAGGCAATAAATGACAAATTGAAGTGAATGAATTTGTTGAGGTATAAGAAGTAAATTGGGTTACATTAGAACAATTTATCATGAAGATTTCTAAACTACAAAAGTCCTGGTCCCAAATTAGTGAAGATAATGGGAAACATCCTATTGACTTTAATGCACTTTGGGTCAGGGCATCTTTATATAGTATTTCAGTGGGTATACATATCCATATAAAAATAATTATATAAAAGAACTGTGACAGTTACAGTCTTTAACTGGAAAAATAAACTTAAAATACTTCCTTGAGTGCTTTAAATGGAATATTGTAAACACTTGGGAAAGTTGCAGCAGAATTTGTGCTCCTTAAAGTTTGTTAGTGAACTCAACATGTTAAAAAATAGAGAAATGAGACGAGTCCAACCAAGAAATACTCCATCTATGCAAAGATAGCTTGGACCGAGCTAGGAAGTATACAGCAACAAGTAATTAACTCAGTGTACTTAACATCTAGCAGCTCATGCTGGCATAGTTAGGGCATGACAGTTTCTGTAGGCAACAGCACACAAGGGAACAATGTACATAGCATTACATCCAGCTACCTATAACTTTTCAGCCTCAGTGACTAGGCATCTCTTCAGCTGTATTGACTGGGGAGCAGCCTTTGAAATGAGTTTGGAACAGGCTCAGACTCTGGAGCCATAGCCTTGCTGTCACAAAACATCCATGTATCTCAAGTAAAAAAGGTACCTGAATTGGTTAGTTTTGGTTGGTCACAAAAATTGCTTACTATCTCTGTTCCCTGACTTAATGAGCATAACTCCTGTAACAACAAGTACTTGAGGAACGTGTGAGCCAGGCCTATATCACTTCTCTGGCCAGCCTTGGGCCATCACTGAGAAACAAGCCCTCCCATACACTTTCACTGGAGGAGGGTGGAGTGGAAGAAGTAGGTAGAATTCATTTCTCAGCAGTGATCCCAGGCTTAGCATGGAGGCCACCATGGTAACATGGCCATCTGGGCACTGAATTGGTCAGGAAAAGTAGCAGATAGGAAAGACTAAGCAAGTTTGAGAAAATGTTAAAGCACACAAGTTGCCTGAAGCATCTTCCTTCAAAAGTGCCAGCAGAAATTGTAAATTCACAATCTTAGAAGCAATTCAGTGTGATCTTCTTGCTTGTGTGCCAGTGTTTTAATGTGTGGTTTTGGAAACATAGTCCTCCTGCTGTGATAAGCAGTGTCCCAGTTCATAAAAAACAAAACGAACAAAACAAAGAAAACACAGCACATCAATTTAATTTACTTGAATGTGTCAGTTAAAAATATACCAGTTGAAATAATTTGAACTCCCTAAAAAGCTCCTAGAAGATGAACACAAAATGGATGAGTGGCCAAAGCAAATCCATTTTTAAATCCAAGAGCAAGCTCACAGGAATGGTGCTGGTATTCTCCCCATTCTAGACTTGAACAATGTTGTACTAATAATATGACTGTAGTGACACTTTACGACTGGTTTGCAATGGAGTCATTTAAAAATATTTCACAACTTAAGAGGAAAAATTTTCAAGAGGTTGAGGACCTTTTATATACTGTCTCTAATGCTCACCTTTCACGCTCCTGCTCCAAGAGGTTGGTAAAGTCATCACTCTTGTTCATGTAATCCGTATGCTTATGCTTCTCATTTTCCAGCTCATAAACTGTGCGCCGGTGGCACTTTTCTGCCAGCAGGAGCTGTTCCAACATGCGTCGGTAAGTCTCCTTCTGCTTTTCTTCAAGTCTGTCCAGCTGGATTGTTTAAAAGGAGAAGAAATTGTTTTCCTAACCAAGGATGTTACATTTGGTAAATGCAAGTTCAACAATTTTGTCTTGGGCTTTACATAAAGCAGTGACTAGGAATAAGGTTAATTGTAGGGGGGAATCTATTTTTAATAATATTGTGACAAGAAACATGTGCTTAGTTCTCAAATATGTAAAAGACAGAATCTTGCAGTTTCAGGATAATGAATAATACTTTTCCAGCATTGAGGCCCTGTTGTGATGAGGTGCTATGCACACTGTCCTCTCACTGACTTAAAGAAGACTGGTGCGTTTTGCAACACGCAGCAGGCAGGACTGAACCAATGATCTAAGAACCTAAGCCTACAACATGATCAGCAACTCCTGTAATGTGGTGAATGTCCTCAGGAACTACAAAAGTCAATGGCAACTGAATGCCTGAGAAAAGCAGAAGGGAGACACCAATGCAAAAATATTGATGCTTAATGTTTGGTACGTAAGTGCATGCAAACACATTTAAGTGTCTGTGTAATAAAAGACTGTGAGTATGTAGGGCCTGCCACCTATGATGCACTAGCTCCTCTGTGATTACTGCCCATATATAAACTTTACCCCAGAGTAAATGGGACTACCCCATGGCAGTTTGTCCCACACAATGAAATAAGGGTAAACTACAGTGGGATAGCTTTAATTTGTCATAGGGTAAAATGCACACACAGGCAGTTACCAAGAATAGTTGGTATACTGTAAATCCCTGTCTTGATGTACCTCACAGTAGCTTGTTCATGTACCTGTGTCTTAAATGTTGCAATTGAGTATCTTGATGGGCACTAAATGCTCAAGATTGAAAGCTGGACTGTGTAACTTCAGCATAGTCACAGCATACATTCCTGTGAAAGTACATTCTCATGTGAGCTATAACAAATATCATATTTGGCTAGATAAATACAGTACCTTTCTGTTCATGTACCTCCAAGGTTTTTATTGGGTTCTTCACACACGACACTCAACCTACTCATTGTAGGAATGAGAATAGCCAAGTGCTGTTTTATAATATTACTATATGGGCTAAGGGGAAGAGGATAAAAGAACTGCAGCCATTTTGAAACAATCCTTTAGCTATTAAATACCTTAATCAGAGATGCTCATTAAATTTCATGAAGGAGAGACAGCCTGGCATGGATTCACATTGGGAGAGAAGGTCTTCTAAAGCCAGAAAATATCACAGTATTTTAATGCCAACCATTTTATAATAAGCTTTCTGGACAGGATTTTTTTTTTTTTTTTTTTTACAGTGAATGGAGACCTCACAAGACCAAAGACGTCTTTAGATAAAGTTCCTGTTATGCTATTTTAGTGTTGTTTCTGAATATTTTGTGTATCTTCATGTATTCAGTGCTGTTCAATGTGTTTATTAATGATTTAGATTCTGACTTAGAAAGCTTCATGAGCAAGTGCAGACAACACAAAACTGGGAAGGATTGTGAACATGTCAGAGAGTGGGAGTACAATGCAGAAGGATCTCCATAAATTGGAAAGATGGGCTGAAGCTAACAGTATGGAGTTCAAAGCAGACAGATGGAAGGGGCTACATCTTGGGAAGAATAATCAAAAACACAAATACAAAATGTGTGACAGCTGACTGGATGGCAGCGCTATCAAGAAGGGTCTAGAAGTCTTGGTAGACCACAGACTCGGTATGAGTCTACAGTGTGATGCAGCCTCACAAAAGGGAAACGTGATTTTTTGGGATGCATCCATAGAAGAATTAGATGCAAGACGAGGAAGGTGATAGTGCCTCTCTACTCAGCACTAAGTAGGCCTCATCTAGAGTATAATGTGTAGTTCTGGGCTCCTCATTTTATAGAGGACATGGAGAAGTTAGAAAGGGCCCAGAGATGGCTAACAAAGATGATAAAGGGCTTGCAGAATAGGTGCTTAAGTGAGAACATCATAGCAGTCTTCAAATACTTGAAGGGCTGCCATAAAGAAGAGGGGAAGCACCTTTTCTCTCCTGCTGCAGAGAGGACATGGACAATGGCTTGAGGTTACAGCAAGGTAGGTTTAGGTTGGATATCAGGAAAAACTGTTAGAGCAGTGAGGCTGTGGAATAGACTGCCTAGGGAATTTGTGGATTCTCCATCACTGGAGGTGTTCAAGTAGAGGTTGGACAGTCACTAGTCAGAAATGACCTAGAGATAGCTACACCTATGTTCTATTATAGGTATTTCCCAGGCTTCTGGCCTCTGCTGATTGCCTCTCTCTTGCTTTCCCTTACATGTATCAGGGTGTTTTTAAGTCTCTCTCAGAGGTATTGGGTGTTGGCTATAGCCAAGGCCGAGGATTTTAACTGTGGTGTACCAATGTTCCTGTTGAAACTAAAGCCAGAAGTTCCTGGCTAGAGATTCTTGCCCCTCCACACAGGTTCAGGCTGGTCACCGTATTTGGAGTCAGGAAGGAATTTTACACAATGATCAGATTGGTATGGCCCATAGGGGTTTTTACTTTCCTCTGTAGTGGGGAGCATGGTCCTCTACCTAGGATCTCTTGAGTATAAATTGATAACATTTCATAGAAGCAGGATATTTGGCTGCCATGGTTTCCCTGCTGGCAGGTTAGGATATTAGGTCTGTGTTGTGTCAGGGTTGACAGCAGGTTTATGAAGAGTTTATATTATGTATTGTGTAGGATGGTTTGGATAAGGATGATCCTACCTCAGGCAGGAAGTTGAACTAGATTGACCTCTGGAGGTCCCTTCCAGTCCTGTTTCTCTAAGATTTCTAAGATTTTTGTGCTTTCTATGCTGTCCCTGAATGCTACAACTGATTTTTTTGTTGTTGTTGGTTTTTTTTTGTTTTTTTTTTTAACTAGATACTAGATTAAAGGTATAACAGTATCTTTTAAAATATCTTCTAACCAACAGTTAATTATGAATACTGCAGTATTCCAGGAGCCAGGGAACTTTGCAAAAATATACATAAATTGTGACTTACTATATATGAAGTGCATCTACACATACTTTAATATGCATTAGCCTTTTTTAATGTGCATTAGTGTCACTGAAAAACTGTGCTTTTAGTAAATATGCATTAAGACAGGCTAATGTGCATTTTTCTAGTACCTCACAATTGACTCAGGGCTCCTATTCACATGCATGAAATCCAGAAGATTAATCAGGTCTTCTGGAGTGTGAAAATTTATGCATTCCAGCAGAGTCTAGTATCATGTGTATCAACATCCTTGTACTGAAAAATGGTAGCGGGGTACTTCAAACTAAACCTCATTTATCCTCCAGTGATAGAGAGTTCACAAATTCCCTAAGCAGTCTATTCCACTGCCTAACTGTTCTAACAGTGAAGAAGTTTTTCCTGATATCCAGCCTAAACCTACTTTGCTGTAACCTCAAGCCATTGGTCCATGTCCTCTCTGCCACAAGAGAGAAAAGGTATTTTCCCTCTTCATTAACTAAAGTGCATTAATGCATGTGTAGATGCACCCATTGTTGGGTACTCCACAAAACTTAATGGAGACCAAAGATGTCCTTTTACACTTTGTGCCATGTGCTGGGTACTCCATCAGACACAAGGACCTCACTTGATCTCAGATCTGTTATATGGTAGTATAATTCAGCAGACTTCAATTCCAGAATCAAATCCCACAGTTGTAATTTGGAGATTCTTCTGACTTCCTTTAGTCAGGGGTGGGAGGGAATATCTTCCAAACATGGAGTGTCACTATGGGTTTATGGAGGTGTGAGATCCACAGATACAAAGGTATGTTTCTTCCAAACGTATAGTCACTATGGGTTTACAAGGTGAGAGAGCTGTTCTCATGATGATAATCTAAAATGACTATTGGTGGATCGGTGGTTTCCTAAAGTGCAGTGTGGCATACCAGAAAGATGGGCAGAGAGCAGTGAAACAATAGTGAAAGTGGGAAAGAGGAACATGCTTCCAGCCAACACTGCTGCTGCTGTCCCTGGTTGACCTGGGGTGGAGGAGGGAAGGCCATGGGGACAATGCCCACATCAGCTGGGGACAATGGTGGCTGTGCACAAGTTCCTCCTTCCAGCACCTGCTCCCAACCAGGAGGGGACTTTGGGGGAAGGGGTGGCAGGAAACAGGATCTGGAAGGAGGAACCTGCATGCTATTGCCACTGTCCCCTGCCAAATGAGGCGCACTGCACAGTTCTAGCCTGTGGCTGGAGTGTAGTAGAAGCCCTGGCTCTGCGGCTCCCCCTACTTAGCCAAGGACAGCGACAGAAGAGGAGTGCAGCCTCAACCCCACACTTCCCCTACATCCTCCCCTTCCTCCATGTTCTTCACCTGGAGGAAGCAGAACCCTAAGGAACATGACAGATTTGTTATGATTGTATTCAAACCAATGTTACTGCATGGAAAAAGTATTATTGGCTTAGGGACAGATAAACAGTCACATCCTCTTTAGTTCTTTTTGCATACGTGCTGAATATTCCCCTCTTGAATGCAAGGTAAATGAGTTTTTTTAGGTCATGAAGAGAATCTCTGTTCATCCTAGGGAACTTCATAAGTTTTTGTTTTATTTTTTTTACCTCTGAAATAGGTTTCTCATAGACATCTTCTCCTATGGATTTTTCTTCGGCAAGGATAGCATCTCTGTGTAATACTCTTAGGACATTCTCTGGAGCTGCAGATCCATAATGAGCTTCTAAAACTTCAGGTTTGGTCTTCTCTGTCTTCAGCATCTGGATCACATCTTCCCTGGCCTGTGAAAATTACAATTCAGTACAATTAGACAACCTGCAACCAACAGATAAACTAACTTTTACCACTGCAACTACACTTTACACATGCCCCTACAGTGCCATTGCTACTGCACCATCATCTAGTACTTCCTCTAGGCAGCACAGTTATTTTTAGCCACTATGCCACCATAGTGATGTGCTATAGTGAGGGTGTGTGTCACTATGGCAACATAGCTCTGGTACCACAGTTTTTGCCTACCGAAGCTACATCGCTGTAGCACGTTGCTATAGTGACGTAGTAGCTTGTCTCATGTAGATGCACCCAGTGTGTATAACATGTACTGTACACATGCCAAAAAAAAAAGATAAAACCAATGTAAGATCTCAATAGCTGGGAAGTACCTGAATAAAATTTGCCTGGATGAGCTGAATTTGACCCCTTGTATATATGAAATATGACTTTCCCAGGATTACATATGAAGCCTATAGCTGCCAGGAATAATATTGTGTGACCCAGGGCCCCAGTTGGGAGAGATGTTAGTGACCTTTCAGCCATCAAGTGTTCAGACCTGACAAAGGGCACATTGTGTCTGAAAGCTTATTTAGCATGTCTCTCAACTATATAGTTGGTCCAATAAACTATATAAGTAGCTCAAGGGGCTTTGCCTTCATAACAGTGGCAGTGGCAGCACTGTGTGGGGAGTGGTGACCAAGGTAGTGACTGAGGCTGAGGCAGCAGTACAGCTGGGTTGAAAGCAGTCTACGCTTGGAGCTGAGCTCTATTAAAGTGAGTTCCCGCTCCAAAACATTGCCCTGCCTTTAAAGATCCAGGCCCCTGTTCATGTCTAAGCCCCATTCTTACAGCATACTTAAAAGATCAGGATCAACAGAAAAAGAGGACGTGTAAGTGTGCTCTCTTCCAACTGTCATCCATCAGTTTGAGGGTGAGAGTTCACATACAGGATATGGGAGACCTACGGCAGTTCCCTCCTCTACCTCAGAGGATTCAAGCCAACATCTCCCACAAGAGTGCCTTAGCCACCAGGCTAGACCATATGTTTAGAAGAGGCTTCCGTTGAAACTGTTACATTTTGCACAGCAACGCACAGATTTACAGGAACAGAGAAAGAAAGCATATTGGAAGGATAGTTCTTTAGCCTGCCTAAGCCCCAAATATAGTCAGGATTTATGACCCAACCCTGCTTGTGCCATTTTCTATTGCCTAGCTTCGACAGCGCCCCACTCAGTGTGGTAGCTGTAGTGAATCTTATTCTGAGGTGCCTGAACCTTCCCATACATTATGTAAGAAGCCAGCATTGATGACTCTGCTACCATAGGCACCTAATCCTTTTTGTGGTTTTAGTTCATCATTCACATTATCATCTTTCCAAGGATATCAGCTGTAATGAAAAAGACTAAGTAGTCTGAGTTCTAGCCTGCCATTCTTGTAAGGAACACTTAAGCTAGGAACAAACATTCAAAAAGCCAGAGTCTAAATTGATTCAATCTTTCCAGGTTAGTCTAACCTGCCTAGATTGAACCAATTGGCAAGTGAATACACATCAGGAAATGCAGGCACATGCCTGCAGTGGCTCAGGCTAGAAGCCGGGGCATGCTAGAGCAGCCCTCGGCTATAGGGAAGCTAGGGGAGAGGGGTGGGGAGGGTGGCCAACCCTGGCAGTAGCCTCAAGTGAATTGGCCAGGGAGGGCATTACATTCCTCTACATCAGGTTGCTAGGATGCATCAGAGCCTGTGCTAATAATAAACAGAATAGAAATTGATTTTATCTGATAAAAAAGAAGACCAGGAATGGAGGAGTTCTGAAGTGTAACTGTTCTTGATATTTATTGGGCACCAGGATCACAGACAAAGTGGCAACTGTTGATCCTACTGGATCATGGTGTATGCATGAGGGCCACCCAGACCTTCAGTACATATGCCTGGGCAGAAAGTTTTGGAGGAGTGGAGGCTGCCCAGCCCTTCCATCCTCTCTTTAGGGTACTGAGACAAAATCCAAAGACCAGACTGCATCCAGATGTTTGGTGTCTCCATGGCTGTAGATGGATACATAGCTGCGAATCAAACCTAAGTCTCCTGGGTTGAGTCCTTGTCTCCTGCAGTAGGCAAGGACTCAACCACTGAACCATAGGGGACTACTTCACAGACAACCCCATCACTTCTAGTATTTGTCAGTTTTTACAAAACCAGTTAATCTCCCTAAAATTTCTCATTCTGGGTCCAGCGGGAATAATCCAAAATTGTAGGCCTGTGAAATTAGTAATTTCATATTACCTCCAAATGACTGATTTTCCACTGACACAAAGAACTCATGTGGTGCTGTTTTGTTTCAGGGTACCAGGCACTTAAATCTAACCTTAGCGCCTGGGCCATTTACAAATAGCAAGCAAAATAATCCTAGGAGAAAGACATATATACTTGGTGAAAAAAGGGGCGGGAAATTATGGGTGATGCTAAAGTACTTTTGACTACCAGAGAGGGACTATATTATAATCCCTACTGACAGATATGCTTTAGGACTCCATTCACTTCACTGCTGTTTATAAAGTACATGATCACTCAGGACACAGACATGAGAAAGAGATTTTGGATTGGAAATATAATTGCCTATAAATCACAGTCCATGGTTGTTAGTGGTTTTTTTGTGGAATCAAGTCTTTTTGGCACAAGAAATCCATCTTTCTACGCCATTTTTCCCTTGGAAATGTGATAAGGTGGAAAATCTGGGAGATGGGAGATGACTAGGTATTTCAATAGTTTCTTTTCAATGAAGACTTTTTTGAAAGTTTGAAAGTAATCAAGCCTGCTTTTTACATTCAGTGTATGGATCTTAGAAAATTAATTATTTAAATTTTTTTTTTAGCTTTTTGTGTTATGTTTACTCATAACTAAAATTGATAGGAACAGAAATACCCGATTGTTTTTATATGCTATTTAAACTGTACAGTCTTTGAAGCTGCTACTTTTATTTCATTTTCCTTTACTTCTGTATAAAGTTGCAGCTTTGTTTTAATACTGTAAATCAGAGATGTCCAACCTTTTTGAATGTGGGGCCAGATCACAAACTTTTTATCACCCAGTGGGCCTGCAAGCCATATTCAAAGACCTCACAGGAAGTGGTATCACATCAGGAAGTGATGTCATGTGACCTTTGACACCAATGAAGTTGCAGGAAATGACAATGAAATGGGTCTAACCAGTTCAAAACTCTCCCTATGTAGCATCCACCTCTGCCACTGTTCAGGACAGGATACTGAGCTAGATGGACCATGGGGCTGATGAAGCATGGCACTTTTTATGCTCTCATGTTCAGAAGCTCTTATGTTCTTTGGCTGGGCTTCCAAACTATGGCTGAGATTTGCAAAAAGGGGTAGATAGGCATGTTACAAAGTTGTCATATAAGATATGGAGCCCTCTAAATCCCATTCATTTTAATGGAAGTTGGCCTTTTGACTCAGCTTTGAAAATCTCAGCCCAAGGTGCCAACCAAATAAGTCAAAATATATTTTGCATTTCCATGCAGTACATCTATGAGGGGCTCTCCAAGCATTTTACAAAGATGAAACGAACCTCAGGACAAGCCCAGCCGGAGCGGCAGGGGCTCAGCTGCACCATGTGCCGCTCGGGACAGACGGGAGCAGGCAGGGGGGAAATACAGCTGAGCCCCAGCCGCTCCGGCTGGGCTGTCCCGTCCCGTCCCGTCCCGTCCCGAGTGGCACACGGCTCTGCCGCCGCTGCTGCTGGCCGGTGCAGACCCGGCCGGGCTCCTCCCGTCCCCAGCAGCTCGTGGGAAGCCGGCTTCAGCTTCTTGTCACTTTTCCTGGCCGGTGCTGACCCGGCTAGGTCCATCCCACCTGGAGCAGCACGCGGCTGAAGGCAGGTTCCCACGAGCTGCTGGGGACTGGAGAAGCCCGGCCGGGTCTGCACCGGCCAGCAGAAGCGGCGGCGGAGCCGTGTGCCGCTCGGGGCGGGACGAGCCCAGCTGTAGTGGCAAGGGCTGAGCTGCATTTTCCCCCTGCCTGAGCCCGTCAGTCCCGAGCGGCACCTGGCTTTGCTGCCACCTCTGCTGACTGGTGCCGACCCGGCCGGGCTCCTCTAGTCCCCAGCAGCACGTGGGAAGCCGGCTTCAGCTACGTGCTGCTCCGGATGAGCCAGACCCGCCCGGGTCGGCACCGGCCAGCACAGGCGGCGGCGGAGCCGTGTGCCGCTCGGGACTGACCAGCACAGGTAGAGAAAGTGCAGCTGCGCCCCTGCTGCTCCGCTGTCCCGAGCGGCACGCGCTTACTCCTCTTCCCACGTACCGCGTCCGCAACGTCAAGCTGACGCCGTGCGTGCGGGAGCCACGTCCCTTCAGTGGCCTTTGGGAAGCTGCTGAGGGGCTGGGGGGAGGACAAGGGGTAGGAGCGAAAGTAACCCGTGTTTACCTTCTTTTCCCGTCGCAGCACCGCCGGCCTCAGAAAATGCGTTGGCGGGTCGCATGGCGGCCCGCGGGCTGCATGTTGGACAAGCCTGCTGTAAATAACAGTTGGATCAATGCAAACTAACACCCAGATTACTTTCACTTGTTAAAGTGGAAAGGTTTTTAGGGCTGGAACAGCAAAGGGGCTGAGTTCTACCTAACTCCTGCCTTAGGTACCAAAATACAAATGTGTACTCAATTAAAACCTCTGGCCAGCTGTCCCTTAACTATGTCAGAGAACACAGCTCATGGTAATAGCCACTCCCCCTTTAGACAGTTTAGCAACCAAACTTCTTGATTTATTGACAAGACTGTTATGCAGCAATAGTGCAAGCCTCCCCACAGTGCCCAGTCAGTTTGCGCCAATGTGATTTCTGCTGTGTAGTCTGTTCTCCATACCAACTCAGTCTTTGTCCTTTTCCATGAGCCTGCTGTCAGAACTGCTATTTAGCATCCACTAAAATAAAATTTTGTGATGAGAAATTTGTTAATTGGGAAGTGGGCTGAGCCTGTCAAATTTATTTCGCATGAGCCACCAAAGAG